CAAGCTATCTCCCCAGCCACTTCAGAACTTTTATCCAGTGTTTTAGCTACTTTCCTAGTCCACAGACTGGAGAAGTAACAATTTACTGAACAACTGCATTCCCAAACTGAAAGGGGAAGGTGCAGCAACTCTATGGACATGGACTGCACCCAGCACAGAGTAAGGATATATGGTCAGACATTCACCTACATTCCCAACCAGAAGACAACAGTCCTAGCAAAAAGGCCCCATCAGACTCAGCAGAGGATGAGTACCAGCACCAGTATAACACTGCATACCTAGCAGGTGGGATGCAGGCTAACCAGCCCATCAACCTGGACTCACCACATCAGACACACTCATCACTGAGATCCAATAAATATGTGTGGTAAGTGGCTCAGCTTTTTTTTTTTTTTTTTTTCCCCTGTATTTAGGACAGGGTTTACAGGGTCTACAAGGTCTCACTACGTAGATGGGACTCATAGTAATTCTCCTGTTTTCAGTCTCTCAAGCGCTGGGATTACAGGCGTATGCCATCATGTCTCAATCCCTAAGGGCAGCAGGGCCAGCACTGCAGCCTGGAGATTGAACCCCAGCCACTGCACTCTGCCTAAGGAGGCACTTTAATCTGCTGAGTTATCAGGCAGGCCCATCAGCTGTTTTTCACAAGATCCTATAACTTAGATTTGCCCTCTTTACAAAAGGATTTGACAGAATATATAGCACTACTCACCTCCTAGAAGAGGGAGAGCAGCACCATCCCTTTTCCATTAAGTAATAGCCTGGTGGGCAATAAAAGGCTCACAAGCCCTTGCTCAAAGTTTCTGAGGCCCAGAGGATTGGGCCTGTGTGACCTCCCGAGGGTTTACTGAAAGTTCTAGTCTGCAGCAGGTGAACTTTGGAAGTTAAGACCTGTCTCCACACTTGTCTACTACTGCTGCTGGCCTGGAAAAGTCATTTTATTGATTGTTTTCAAAACTGCCAAGCCCAGGGCTGGCCAGATAGCTCAGCAGATTAAAACACCTGCTTGGGCAGATGCAGGGGCAAGGGGTTTGATCCCGACCTGTGTGCTGCCCCACCCCCACTGAGACAAAAATGAGACTGGGTCTGGTGGCTAGTGCCTGTAATTCCAGCACGTGGGTGGCTGAAAAGCAGGAAGGATCACTACAGATCCGATCTGTGTAGCGAGATGCTGTAGACCCTGTACTAAATACATTTAAAAAAAAAAAAAAAAAAAAAAGACTGCCAAACCTCCAGACCAAAACAGCTATTTGGAAAGAAGCAAACAGAAAGTGCAACTCACAGACTAAGAAACCCCAAAACTACCAACCTCAGGACAGAATCCTCCTGCAAAAATAAGTCCATGGCTGTGAAAAAGCCCATCTAGAACAAGGTATGACAAAAATCATCTTAAAGACAGGACTTGACTTCATTTCACTGTTAGAAGCAGAGACGACAGCAAACAGGCAATCTCTCTGCCACACAAGGTTTATTTTTAAGCTTCAACATTTTCTATGTGTGCTTCAGATGTGATCAAAGAGCTACTAGAAACAGCTTATCAACCACATTTTTAAAGGAATAGAGAAAGCAAGAAAAGATTGGAGACAACTACTGACGTTTGTTTACCTCTTTTCTGGTGAGGTTAGTCTAAATAATTTAAATCTAAATAAGTGCTAGTGAACATGTAGGGAAAGGAAATGGCTCCAAATTCCTAGCTTTTTATTTCCTAAGATTAGGCTACTATGACTGAGTACCATGACTACTTTAGCTAAAATTGAACAGGACAAAGAAGAAGGTTCCTACTTTCATTTGGTGGCAAGCTCTATTCTTTTTTTTTCCCAGAACCGGGGATTGAACTCAGGCCCTTGCACTTGCCAGGGAAGCGCATATTCCACTGAGCCATCTCCCTGGCCCCTGCAAGCTCTATTCTAAAGAAGGTCAATACTTCTGACAACCCTGGCCTTCTGACCAAAGAATTCAGAATTTAAGGAAGATGTAAGTCAGTAGAATAGCACTTACTTAGCATGTGCGAAACCCCTGGGCTCAATCTCTAATACTCTACCCAACCCCCTAAAAAACAGTACAGGCACTTGCCTGGAATATGTGCCTCTCTTGTTTTCCAAAAATCCTGCTTTTTACTGGGATGAAACTTTACATGACGTCACCAGTTATGACTGGCTGAGAACCTCAGAGAACCATGAAGTGGCTCAGGGGAATCTAAGTCCATAAGGCATAGACAGGATGAGTAATTCATACTTTAGAACAAGGTCTCAATGTATGCAACCATTGCTCTGGGACAAAGTTACCAAAGAGCAACTTACATTCCAAAATGGTCACTGATTACTGCTATCATTAAATCAATAGACATGCACCAAATCCTCACCACATGCTCAGAAGTATGCTAACCATGTAAGGAAGAGAACAGATCAGTGAACACATCACATGAAAAAGATCATGGCAATAATGCATTTATAGCTGGGCGTGGTGACACAAGCCTGTAATCTCAGCACTAGGAGGCTGTGGCAGGAGGATTGCTGTGAGTTCAAGGGCACCCTGCATTGCACAGTGAGACCCTGCCGCAAAACAAAGCCAAAAAAAAAAAAAAGAAAGAAAGAAAGAAAAAGAAAAAGAAAACAATAACGCATTTACATTTAGTAAACAGCACAAAGAAACTACAGAGCCAGCCTGTTACTCTCTCTGCTGAGCACAAAGCTCCTACATCCTCAAAGAGAGTAGGCACTCCAGCCACTCCCCAAATGCCTAAGGGTGCCAGTCAGTCACTTGGCCTCCTCTCAGACCAGCTCATAATCAACAGTCTGGAAAAGTTCTCAGGTAAAGGATGGTCTACCTGCTAAAACAAAGGCTTTGATAAGAAAGGGGATGGAACAAGCAACCTCAGGTGGGCCAAGAGAAAGTGGTTACTGACAGACGAGAATCAGTTAGCAAGGAGGAACTGTGTGACACAGACCAAGCTCACTGCTTTCCAAAGACATCAGTCCTATGCACAAGCAACTGCCAGATCCAGTGAGGAAACAAATCAGCCACCTCTTCCTCTCAACCCCAACTTCACTCCAAAAGCAAACAGTCCTTAAGTAATACAAGGGTCAACCACCGCAGAAAAAAAGCTCCACCCAGACTCCTCTAGAGTTTCTAACTGAGGAGATGACAGGAAGCAAAGGTAACAAGACAGAAATCACAATAAGTGAAAGGAGATAAAATTTTTCCAAAAAGGAAGTTAACATGATACAACAGATCTACCTTAATGGTCTACAAAGGAAAAAAGAGATCAAGAAGAAAACATGAAGGATATAGTGGGGCCAGAGATAGTTCAGGGACATAAGCGCCTGCCTGGCAAGCACAAGGTCCTGTGTTCTAACCTAGGTACCCATCCCTCCGCAAACAAAAAATTAGTTTGGGCCAAGGAGATAGCTCAGCAGCATAAGTGCCTGCCTGGCAAGCATAAGAGTTCAATCCCTGGTACAAAGGGAAAAAAGGGGGTGGGGTGGGGTGGGGTGGGGGAATGCAGTGAAGGGTAAAAATGCAAAAAGTACTGAGCCACACAAGATAGAAGAGCTCCTTTTTCTAGATTTTAGGTTTTTTTGTCTTGTTTTTGGTCTAATAAAGTTCATCAAGAAAGGTCTGACAGACAGGGGACTCTCCACAGAGCAGGTAGCAAGGGACACTGGAGATGGTGACAGAAAAGGGAGGGGTGGAAAGTGGATGCCTTTCAGCTCAGAGATGAGATGACACAGAAAAGGCAAAGGCTTGTATGACAAACTATAGCAGTGATTGCCAGGAAGCGGGAGTGGGGTGTATATAGGGTCAAAGGCTGATCTACAACATAGGAAACTAGCATGGCAAAGGTGTAGAATTCCTAGGAATTAAAAAGACTATCCAGTAAGAAGGTGAACGGATAAGAGTATATGAGCTTGGAAAATGAGTGAATGTGAAGAGGGCAGGAGACTCATGTGGACATGAAAAGCAACGTTGATTAAAGGCACAGCAAGGAAACAAGCAAGGAGGAAAATACTAAGAAGTGACGGGGCACAGAGAGGTAGAAAACAATCCTGGTTTCGGATGCAGTTAAGCGTCTGCCTGGCAAGTGCAAGCGCAAGGTCCTGAGTTCGATCCCGCGTACAGGGGGAAAAAAAAAAGGCGGAGGACAGATGGAGCAACAGGTTATTTTACTACTACAGTACTGAAATACAGAACTACACCCCACCGTGAGCCCTCGACGGCATAAAAAGAGCCCAGGGAAGAGGCTGAAAGCACACAGCAGGAACAGGAGCCACAAAGTCTTAAAAACCAGATCCCTGGGGGAAGAGAACAAGAGACTGAAGGGAGTGGTGACTGAGCCCCAAAGGCAACCTGTGGGTAAACTACGCGCATGACAGCTACACGGGGAACACGGAAGCGACACATGCCAGTGCCAGAAACCGAGGTAAAAAGAAGGGAAAGTGATGCGCAAAGAGTAGGCGAACGATTTGGAAAGGTGATGAGGGTGGAGCTGGTGGGTTGCAGGCAAGAGGGAGAACAGTTTGGAAAGGGAAGAAGCAGGGTAGAGAAAGCTGGGGAAGTAAAAAAGCATAGGGGCGGAGAACACACTTTGAAGGAAGGACCCGGAGGGTGAAAATCTGGGACTGGAAGAACCGGTGTGAGCACAGGGGCACCGAGGCTGAAGAGCCATGAAAAGGTGGACAACAGTCATATGAAATCACTAGGCATTACTTCGAGGGGCGGGAGGGTGGTTGTTTTAAGCGTGGGTGTAGGAAGACCAGAAAAGGCCCCAGATCGAGAAAAAGGAAGAGCAGGGGAAGCTGAGGAGGTGACACGGAAGCGCGCAGGAGGGCGGTGAGGAGAGAGGGGGGTGCTAGAAGGACAAGTGCAGCTAGGAGTCAGGACGAGCGGGTCCGGAGGCGGGTGACAGGGCGGCCGAGGCTTGCGGGACAGCCCCGGAGGAAGAAGGTTCCGCAGGGTGCAGGGCCCGGCCAAAGACCCACCGGAGCCTCGGGGCTCCTTACCTGCTCCGTGTCCCTCTCGTTCAGCGTGGGCAGGGGGGTCCGGGCGCTGGACATGGCGCCGGTATCTCGGGGGAGGGGACCCAGAAGCTCGAGGAAGGGAGGGAAGGGACGGCGCGGAGCCCGGCCGGGCGGGGCTTCTCACAGCAGGCGCACCCGCTGCATGGGCCCCGGCCGGGGGTGCGGGGAGGCCGGGCAGCCGCTCACGCCAGCCCGGGGATTTGCGGCTCGGGCTAGGCCGCGCCGGCTCCGAGCGGCTCTGGACCGCACCCCCCCGACCCCCGGCTGGGCTGTGCCGCCCTTCGGCCGGGCCGAGCTGCTCCGCCTACTCTCTGCAGCCGCAGCCTGCCGCCTGACTCGCTCCTCCCCTGCCCTCAGCGGCACTGCTCCGCGCCCGGCACACAGACAGCCGCCGCCGGACCTGCTGCTCCCAACATGGCCGCCACCACCGCCGGTCCTCGGCTCTTTCCGCCGGCAGGAGACGGAAACATCCGAAGCGTCTAGAACGGGGTGGGGGGCGCCTTCCCCTTTCGGCTACCGACTGGGTTGAATTCCGGAAACAGCCGAAGAATGTTAATCCCAGGGACGAGTAGGCCTTCCGTAGTCCCTAGAACAAGCTTCGGCTCTATTTACGGAAACCCACGAAGTTACTCCAGGAACGCCAGAGCCATTTGGCCATGCCCACATATATTTCTCCGCCTACTTTAAACTGGCTTTCGGCAGTTTCCGGAAACACCCGAAGAGGCTCAGAGCCTTGCAGAGTCGGCCACGCCCCCGTCCCACTGCTTTGCTGAGGGACGCTATCGGCCATTTCCGGCAACACCCGAGGCCAGCCGAGCTCTGGGTCAATTCTCTGTGAGATTTTCCTTGTCTCGATCTTCGTTTCTTTTCGTCAGTTTTCGGTTATTTTCAAACCTTTAAACAGGAAGCGTGGGTCACATGTGCGTGTTGTTTGGCTGAATAGAAAATAAAGCCGTTAGAAGTACTTGTGATTGTTACCTTTTGGTTCAGAACAACTTCCTGTCAGTTTGTTTATTTGGCTGTCTGTCCACTTGTAAAATCCATCCATTTGTCATCTAGGCCTTCTGTCAACTTGTGTGGCATCTGCCAAAAGCCATGTCAGTGTATTACCTGTCTACCTAACATTTGCCTGCCTTACTCTGTCCTTGGCTTCTTCTCCCTTACAACATCCTCTCCTGTAGTCCACAGGGACAGGCACTAGGCCAGTGTGCTATGTTGTGTGGACTGACAGGGAGGTCCAGAGCCCTGCGTTTCAGCCCTACCTCTGCCAAATGAAAATGCTGTGTTTTTGGAAAAAAATCACATCTCTAAGTTTAAGCTCCCCTATGCCTCTGTTATAGCACTGACATTTGAAATAACCTCTCTGCATTCTAATTCTCGCTTTTTAAAAATGCATTTACTACAGGGTCTCACTACACAGATTGGACTCATAGTAATCCTCCTGTTTTCAGCCTCCAAAGCGCTGGGATTACAGGTGCACACCACCACGCCCAGTCTCAATTGCCATCTCAGCTGCCGCCTGGCAGGGTCGGCAAGACAGGCCAGGGATCGAACCCAGCTGCCATGCTCTGCCTAAACAGCCTTTAGTCGGCTGGCCCTCTAATTACTTTTTAAGGGGCCCATAGGGTTAAGTCAGGAGAGGTATTCTCATCCTGATTCACATTTCACTTATCCTTTCTAAGGAAAAAACTCATTAAAAATACTGATTTTGTTGTTTTAACTTGGGACCACCAAGTTGTAAAGATATATGTTTTTGACAGTTGTACCTCAGGTAGATTGTGAAGTTGAGAAGGGTGATTTGATAGCTTGTATTTGTTTTTAAAATTAAATTAATCTGGGGCTGGTGAGATGGCTCAGTGGTCTAAAGCACCTACTTAGAACAAGCTAAGCTAAACAAAAGGACAGCGACCACGGTTCAATCCCCAGCACCACATGCCAGCCAGCCCGCCCCCTGGTGGGCTGAGCTGGCCACACACACACACACACACACACACTCAAATAAATAAATAAATTTAAAAAAAAATTAAATTAATCCTTGATAAAAGGTTTTTTTTCGTTTTGTTCTCTTTTTTTTGAAATTGGTAGTACAGTTTCAATAATTAACACATTGCATCTCTCTTCCTAGTGGTTATTTGCTGTACAAGATGCAGACATGATGTCCTATTTACAAACACTATTAGAACAAATCCCTCTATTCATTAAGAGAATGTAACTATATATCCTAACCACTTTGAATACACAGATACAAAATGGACATTCGTCTGTATTCCCTTTTTTGTTTAGTTCCATCATTTGAATATTATAGGTGTGTTAACTCAGCAAATTAGTCCAATAGTCCATAATAGTATTGGGTCTTCCGCTTGACTGGCAATGTCAGAAATTGTTGACCTGAGTCCTCTACAGCTCAACATAACAACATGGCTTTACTTCTTATACTTGGTTTTTATACTTTTCTGCTGGATGGTTAAGACCAAGATAAAGCAAGACCTATGCAACAAGAGTTGTAGCTTTTGGGTCTTATATCAGACAAATTTTAAAGGATATGAAACAATCTAATAACCAGTATCATAATCTTAGCAGGAGGACCTTCTTTTTTTTTTTTTTTAAGTAGTTATTAGTTTTGACTACTAGTTTGATACCATCTCCATTTTAGGTGATCTGTTTCACCAGCTGGCCTGTTACTCTCCATGACTAACTATAAGTGCTTATAATGGAATAAATTGCTTTTCTACATTTTAAAATAATAATGATTTTAAAAATAATGATTTTGCTGGGCGTGGTAGTGCACCCCTGTCGCCCCCTGTAATCCTAGCACTTGGAGGCTGAGGCAGGAGACTAGTTGTAAATTTGAGGTCAGCCTGGGCTACGTAGTGCATTCAAGGCCAACTTGGACTACACCTGGAGACCTTGTCTCAGTATAAATAAAATAAAATAATGATTATCTGGCTCAGTAGCAGAGCACATGCTTAGCATGCACAAGCCCCAATTCAATCCTCAACACTGAGGACTCCAAAATGGCTTCCGTTGTAACCCTGAAAAAGAAGAGACTCTTGGATGTGAAAGTAGGGGAGCTGCCCAGCTGGATACTGATGCGGGATTTCTCCCCCACAGGCATTGCTGGAGCATTTCAGAGAGGTTGCTACCAGTATTACAACAAATACATGAACGGAGCATGTAAAAAGGGAGCATCGCGGGGCTGAACATGGTGCTGGCAGCCTATGTCCTTTTCAACTACTGCCTTTTTTTTTTTTTCAGAACCAGGGATTGAACTCAGGCCCTTGCACTTGTCAGGGAAGTACTTATTCCACTGAGTCAGCCATACCCCCAGCTCCAACTACTGCCTTTCTTACAAGGAACTCGAACATAAGCAGTGATGCAAGTACCACTGAAAAGGGGCCAGTGTGGAGGGCACTGTGCACTCTAGCCTTTGACTGCCTCATCCTGCTCCCGTCTGTGAACAGCTTAATCATGGCTCAATTTGTTCATAGCCTAAGTGAGAATTAATGCTCAATAAAAGGTGACTGCGGGGCCAGGGAGATGGCTCAGTGGAATAAGAGCTTCCCTGGCAAGCGCAGAGGCCTGAGTTCAATCCCTGGTTCCGCCCCCCCCCCCAAAAAAAAAGTGACTGCTACCAAAAAAAAAAAATCCTCAGCACTTAAAAAGAAAAAGACTGGGCTGGAGAGATGGCTCAGTGGTCTAAAGCACCTACTTAGAACAAGCTTAGCAAAAGCATCAGGCACCGACCACGGTTCAATCCCCAGCACCACATGCCAGCCAGCCCTGCCCCCTGGTGGGCTGAGCTGCTCTCTCTCTCTCTCTCTCTCTCTCTCTCTCTCTCACTCAAATAAATAAAAAAAAAATAAAAAAAAAAAAAAAAAAAGAAAAAGACTGTCGATTTGACTCAGTGGTAGAGTTCTTGCCTTGCATGCACAAGGCCTTACATTCAATCCTTAGAACCATCAAAAAAATCCACAGGATTACACAAGAATGGGCCTCTTTCCTATGCTGAGTTTCAGTTATCCTATTAGGTGAAGTTATTGGATCCATGAGCTCAGTCCTTCACAGCTTTGTAGAACTCCTTACTCTGGAGGCATAAGCTTGAGTCTAGTGGACCCATCCCTTACTTTTCTATTGCAAATTTATACATTAGCATCATAGAAACTGGCTGTGCATTTCAGTTCTTTTCTTTGAGGGATACAGGAAGCAACTGAAGTGTTTACCCACTTGGTATGATGAACAATTAGAATTGTACACGTGCAAAAATGGCAAACTGGGATTTGGACCCACCATTACACTCTATGTAACAGTTTTAGCATATGTTTACCTGAGCATCACAGTGGGTCCAGTAGGCCCACAATACTTTAGAATTTGTTAAGGATAAAAAAAGTTTTCTTTTGATTTTTCTGGTAGAAATAACCCAATTTAGTGGCACATGAAAAACTAGATTGGGGCCAGGGAGATGGCTCAGTGGAATAAGCACTTTCCTGGCAAGCACAAGGACCTGAGTTCAATCCCTGGTTCCGCAAAACAAAACAAAACAAACAAACAAAAAACCAGATTTACGGGGCCAGGCAGATAGCTCAGTAGAATAAGCACTTCACTGGCAAGCACAAGGGCCTGAGTTCAATCCCCGGTTCCTCAAAAACAACAACAACAAACAAGCACATTTGCAAGTGTTGGAGGAGGTAAAACTGAATCATCAGATTACTCATTCATGCGTGATGAAGATGATCCATTATGGTAAAATACATGCTTTCATACCAGAAGAGTGGTGCGGTGGTACATGATGATGAGAACAACTTTGATGTTGGTCATGTGAGCCAAAGTTCCTGTGACATTGAAATGGAGCAAGAATTGACTAATGCAGACAGAGGGAATGCAGTTCTCCATGATTCAGATGATGAAGAAAACGTGAGTACATATTTGATTAGTTGATGTATAAATCCACCACACAACCAAGTAGAAAGATCCCATATTGGAACTAAAATATACTAAAGATCTTGGCAAGGGTGAAACAAAAGGGACAGAATAGTAGCACTGCTATTCAATGTTGAAAATTGTAACAGATAAAATGTTACATGATGCTGGTGAAATACAGAAAGACTGAAATGCAAATAAAGTTTTGTGTGTACCAATAGCCATACTCAAAAATATATTTGCTGTGACACCTCATTAGCCAAACTGCAAGTATTCATAGCATAAATTTCTTATAGTGATCATAGGAATGTAAAAGACTTATGAAAAAGCAATGGTCGGGCTGGTGAGATGGCTCAGTGGTCTAAAGCACCTACTTAGAACAAGCTTAGCAAAGCACAGGGACCGAGGTTCAATCCCCCAGCACCACATGCCAGCCAGCCCCGCCCCCAGGCAGGCTGAGCTGGCCACACACACACACACACACACACACACACATAAATAAATAAATAAATAAAAGATATTGATCCTGGAGTTT